ATAATTATGTGGTTGTGAAGGACAGGTTGTTAAGAAACAGTGATATAAAAGCACAACTCTATAATCGTACATAATTATGTGGTTGTGAAGGACAGGTTGTTAAGAAACAGTGATATAAAAGCACAACTCTATAATCGTACATAATTATGTGGTTGTGAAGGACAGGTTGTTAAGAAACAGTGATATAAAAGCACAACTCTATAATCGTACATAACTACGTGGTTGTGAAGGACAGGTTGTTAAGAAACAGTGATATAAAAGCACAACTCTATAATCGTACATAATTATTTAATTCATGTAAATCTATTATTTGACAAACGTTTAAGTGTGTGTTCACTTATAACTGACGAACCTTTTTCCAAGGTGTTTAATTCATGTAAAGCTGTTATTTGACAAACGTTTGTGTGTGTTCACTTATAACTGACGAACCTTTTTCCTAGGTGATTAATTCACGTAAAGCTGTTATTTGACAAACGTTTACGTGTGTTTTCTTGTAATTGACGAACCGCTAGATCAATTGTCGTCACACCTGGCATTTACTATTAAGGCCCACCCGAGTGTGACACGGGGTGGAAATTCGGATCTTAACCCAGTATGTCGCCCCAGGTCTCTATGTTTAGATTTGACCTCTATATCAACCTCTCTCCCCGTTGAATGGGTACGTCACCCAGTTAGTATATATTTGGATGTTTTTCACTCGCCACTTTCTTGTTGTTCTCTAACTGATTGCCACACATCTATGAAAAAGTTGATTTTATGCGTGAAGTAGCAAGGGCTATTTTTAAAAGACCACATTGTTTAAAATGTCATGCTTTCAGAGCTATGTTTCTCAACCACTTGTCCGTCACAACCACACCATTATGTACCATTATAAAGTAATGCTTGCAAACTAGTGTTACTCAACAACCGGCCCTTCACAACCACATCATTATGTATGACTGTACGGTGATGCTTGCAGGGCAATGTTTCTCAACAACTGGTTCGTCACAACATCATTATGTACGATTATCTAATTATGCATTCCAAGCAGTGTTTCTCAACAACCGATTCGTCACAATCACATCATAATGTACGATTATACAGTTATGCTGAACAACCGGCCCTCCACAACCACATCATTATGTACCATTTTAAAGTTATACTTCCAGAGCAGTTTTTGTAAATAACCAGTTCGTCAAACCACATCATATAGTTGTGCTTTTAGAGCACTGTTTCTCAACAACCTGTCCTTCACAACCACTCACCTTGGAAAAAGGTTCGTCAGTTATAAGTGAACACACACAAACGTTTGTCAAATAATAGATTTACATGAATTAATCACCTTGGAAAAAGGTTCGTCAGTTGTAAGTGAACACACACAAACGTTTGTCAAATAATAGATTTACATGAATTAATCACCTTGGAAAAAGGTTCGTCAGTTATAAGTGAACACACGTACACGTTTGTCAAATAATAGATTTACATGAATTAATCACCTTGGAAAGAGGTTCGTCAATTATAAGTAAACACACACAAACGTTTGTCAAATAATAGATTTACATGAATTAATCACCTAGGGAAAAGGTTCGTCAGTTGTAAGTGAACACACACTCAAACGTTTGTCAAATAATAGATTTACATGAATTAATCACCTAGGAAAAAGGTTCGTCAGTTATAACTGAACACACACTTAAACGTTTGTCAAATAATAAATTTACATGAATTAATCACCTAGGAAAAAGGTTCGTCAATTATAAGTAAACACACACAAACGTTTGTCAAATAACAGCTTTACATGAATTAATCACCTTGGAAAAAGGTTCGTCAGTTATAAGTGAACACACACTCAAACGTTTGTCAAATAATAGATTTACATGAATTAATCACTTAGGAAAAATGTTCGTCAGTTATAAGTGATCACACACAAACGTTTGTCAACTAACAGCTTTACATGAATTAATCACCTTGGAAAAAGGTTCGTCAATTATAAGTAAACACATGTACACGTTTGTCAAATAATAGATTTACATGAATTAATCACCTAGGAAAAAGGTTCGTCAATTATAAGTAAACACATGTACACGTTTGTCAAATAATAGATTTACATGAATTAATCACCTAGGAAAAAGGTTCGTCAATTATAAGTAA